CGTTTCGGGTTCAAATTTCGCGCCTTCTCACATTTTTCTTCGACGCGAACTGCTCGAATGTCTCTCACAAGTTTCTTATATTATAAGGTATTGGGTTGTCCGAAAAGTTCGTGCCGATTTTTGGTAGGCGGCATGAAATTTTATTTAGAATAATTTTTCACCAAAAAGCCTGAGGCGTTCTGGAAGGACTTCTCAAGTTGCATAAAAGATGGAGAAAGGTTATAGAACAGAATGGCACCTATATAATTTAATAAACGTGTACCAAATTTAAATGAGCTGCGTTTCAATTACCTTCAAAATCGGCACGAACTTTCCGGATAACCCAATACATATTTTGTTAAAGTACATTCCTTGAAATCAGCATTGATTTTCAACAAGATTCAAGATTTTCGTCAAAGACGATGTGTGTGCTAATTTATGTTTCGTTTGTATGTTCTTTAACTTCAATTTTAATTTCAAAGTAAGTGTACATAGGTTGTGTACAATATGGTAAGTGTACATTGGTTTAATCTTAACGAAAGTCTACATCCTTGAGATCTTATTAAAAGTAACGAGTCAGGTTCGAATGAAGGAAGGAAAAGAATGACGAGTTAATTTCGCGGAACGTTAACGCTCTCGATTACTGGCTCGATAAAACATAGTTCAGCAGCAGTTTTGTCGCTCGAACGTGCAAAGGTAAATCCGTATCGTGTTATTAGGGAGGATACCGTTTCCCGTTGCTTTCGAACACGCTAATGAGTTCTCTGTAAACGACGTAATGGCAGCCTGTCTCTCGCAAGGTCATTTACCGAGTGGCCATGATTCTTCGTTAATTACAAAATTAAGGAATTGTCGACGCAACTGATTCGTCATCGGACAAAAAGTTCCTGAAGGTTGCTGGAGATAATAGCGACTTTGATAAATGAAACCTGCTGCTTGTTTCGAACAAATGCACCGCTTTTTAAACGTTAAGAAATTTTTGCAACAGGTTAATCTTAAAACCTTGATTTTATCGGACGATCCTTAATTTTATGACTGTAATCCGATTTGTGTAAATTTAAATTCTGAACGACAGTAGATATATTGTCGGAATGAATCACTCCCTAAAGTTGTGTTTGTTTCTCTTTTAGCTCGCGATTTTCCAGAAGCCAGATATGGGAAACACGGTTTAAATATGTAATTAGTTTCCATCGAGTCGATTAACGTCTTCCGCATAGCGTGCAAGAAATATTCGTGGAATCGACGTATACTTCGTGAAACTTTAATGCCGGAGAGATTAGAACGTCTATTACTTCAAGGTCTCACGATTCGAACCGACTCAAATATCGCTGATTAATCGAGTTTCGGGCACCGTTAGATTTTGATACATATTTTATTAGTAACGTTCGAAGTTCTCACATATGCACTAAAAATACAACTATGCATTTCTACTACTTTATGCATATGTCATATATTTATAATGCATATACATCAAGAAATATACATCACATACATCATAAAAATAGGAAAAAAAAAATTAATGTCAGAAACGGGATTCGATCGCGCAATCTACAGATTATCAGTCTTTGACTCTACGCCCTAAGCCATTCGACTACTCATTCAATTATTAACAAGAACTCCTTATGAACAAATAAGACGATTTGCGAATGTAATTAACTTTGAAGACTAATACAACAAGTTTATTAATACTGTTTCATTTCCGTTGGCCTTGATGTCCCCTACTCAGTATTTAGCACTCAAAAAAGTCTGTTGCAGTACTGCAAAATTATGTATGTTCTCCGGAGTAGAAATTGTGTAAATTGCATACCGATATCGCGTATCCGTTATACGAAAACTCGTACGTGGAGAGGCGGTGGTAGACAAACCCAACCTGTCCGAATGATACATCGGTCGGTGCGAACGCGTATTATCGCGTCCGTGAGCCACGAACAAAGATGCGCGTGTTGGTGCTCGGCACGAAAACTCGTTTCGCGTCTCTTTCTCGTTTTTCTTGAGCGCGCGCGTTTCCTCTCTTATATTCGCTGGCGTGTTTCTGTCTGCGGTGAAATTACGTCACGTAGAAATCATGGTAATCACACGGTGGGTGCAGAAAGCGTAGGAATGCGAGCGCTAATTTGCCCCGCGAACAAAGCGCGCATTGCGACGCACACGAGATCGATACGGACTCTTCTCTCTTTTTCTGCTAACGAAACGGTTCTACGAGAGCGTCTCGATTTGACCTTTGGCTCGCTCCAATTACGAGAAAATAAGAGTTTTGGATTCGATTAATATCGGAGGTAATTCGCGTTAGATATCATCGGCCGAAAGAAGAAGTTATTACGCAAGCGAATTCGCTTTCGTGCCGTTATACAAATTTAGCAAGAATTTGCATTCGACTTTGGATCGCTATTCATGCAACGAGCGTTGCTTCGTCATCGCTGTTTTCATACGGTTATCTCGATGCTTTGAAAAGAAGGTCACTGAATTTCAATGTATTATCTACGGAACTGTTGTGCGTCGCTCCTCTGAAAGATCCTCCCTGTCCAAACCCGGTGGACGCTTCGAGTCGAGTCACGTAAAACGAAAGCAAAAATAGGCTCGCAGCGTTTCTAGCCGGTGAGCAGAGATAGGGAGAGAGGCCGTTCCTCACGGCTCAGGTAAAAAGGAAGGGAGGAAGAAGGTGAACAGACAGGTGTCTGGAAGCCATGTTGCTCGTCTCGTGCGCCTTCAGAATGTCAGGCTGACTAAGGTCGAATAAGGCGCACGAAGAAAGCGGTATTCAGCGCATCCTACAAAATTCATGAGCCGTAAAATTCGAGCCGTCCTCTATCTGGATAAGAGTGAAACGCAGCGTTCTCTCGTCTTATCTCCCGTTCATTGTGTTTATTCGACCATTAGCCGAAACACTTTCGATAATATCGAGATACGGTATCGGCGAATTTCGACGTGGATCGTTGCCCAAATCGAAAACATAGGAATCGATGAGAACGCGTAAGTGGCCTTGGGTACGTTTCCAATTCGAGGCAAAACCTCACTGTTACACGACTCGGGTCACGATCCGTAAACAACCGCGTCGATCAATGGCTCTCCCCAGGAATTTCGTTCTCTCGTCTCTGTTTTTCCAAGAAATTCCAACGGATCAACCACTCCCGTGACGTTACGTGTTTGGTAAATATCGCCACGAAAATAAATTACCTTTGTTTGGTCGAGGACAGGGAAAGCGCGAAGGTCGGGACATAATGTACCACGTGGGACCAGTTTCTGAATTCCCCGCGAATTTCCTCGTTAATCATTCTACTCTGACTCGTTTTCTCTTGGATATTTGCCAACGATGGACCATCGAAAGGTGTCTCACTTTCCTCTAAATCACCTTACTTGACTCCTATGGTTCCTGATCTACACATAGAATCCTTGTCTATTCGCGTAGAATCTTTGTCGAACGTTTGCCTAAAGTTAGCTTAATATCCTTGAATCTGGTTGCATAAGAGGGTCCTTCTTTCTCCCGGTGGGTTTTCGCGAAAGAAGAAGGCGACACGAACACAGAATCACGCGAGAACAGAGCCTCGAGCAAAACAAAAGAGGCCGCAAGGATGCGTAAGGCCTTTTTTGGCGATATTCGCGTTGCGTATTGCTTCGGAGCCGGTCTTCCTCTCTGGTCAGTCCGGTCGAGCGACCGGATTTTTCAAAGGTTGCCCGCAACTCGAACCTGTCCTGTTCCCATACCGGACTGGTTTATCGACCGACGACAACGGTGACGACGCTGCACGATTTTCTGAACAGAAAGAAAAAGAATTCCGATTAATCTCTTATCTCCAGTGAATCTCGTAATTTAGAATGCGTGATTACGAGTTAATTTCTGAAGTTTACTCGAACCGATACCGATTTACCTTTGACCTTCGTCTCGTCAAACAGTAAAGGCATTCTTCTCCTTATCGTACGAAGGAGAACGCGAGTCGATTAACGCAGCGATGCTCGAATAAGTCTTAGAAATGCAAATCGCTGAAACTGGTTTTCCGGTCTCTAAAGCGTGCAAATAAGCGTTGATTCTCGGAACGGGTATTAATCTCCTCTCATGGAAAATCCTTTTTTCCAACGGACTGCATTCAGATCACGTATTGCGTGAACGTCTGCCTTACAATCTCGAGCATTGTATCGAAACTGGTGCGACCACTTTGCACGTTTTCGCTGCAGTTGAAATTTTTCCACGAGCCGGGGTTCACTGCTCGACTGTGTCCTTCGAAAGCAGATGTTACTCGAAATAACATTTTCGAGGAAGCTAATCTTTCTGCTCGCGAGCAAATCGTGGGAGATTAGGCTTGTTCGCAAACAGGCCCAGATAACCGAAAGAAACGTTTCCCACCTGACCGACGTAATTTTCTCGAAATTAAAAACGGCAACGAAACTCGCCGAACGTATTTATCGGAGGGATCCAACGCGTGTAAGGTCCGCGGAGCGAGAAGCGAGATAAACACGCGTGTTGCGCACGTAACAGTATAAATAACTTGCGCAAGCATTAATGAATGCTTATCTGGCTGAGCCCGTTAAAAAAAGTCACGATATATACGCCAGCTACCGTCGGCGTTTTATTATCGCTCTCTTTTAATACCAGCGAGTAGGCTCGCGAGCCTGGAAAATAATTATGAGCGTTCGGGATTTCCAGTTCACGCGTTCGTTCGTCGACGGTTTAACGCGTTGTCATCGAGGGTATCGGCTATTTACGTCGCGACGGTCAACCCGTTAACATCCTCTTTAGAAATTGATTTTGTTCGACGATCGACCCTGACCTTTGCTCGGTACGGGTCGTGATTCATAGGCTTTATGCCCCCTTTTCGACCACCGCGTTTTTACTCGCAAATACCTACGATTCCCTGGGTAATCCTCTTTACATCGAAGTCGGTTTACGACACCTATAGTAAACTCGCATAATGAAGGAAACGTTAGGGTCTCGTAAGTAATTAACTCCGGGGTTAAGAGTTTTATCCCGAAAACGAGTACGAGATTCGGGAGCTTGTAACCTTGAAACTTTTGTGCGCTTGTTGCAGAGAGCGGAGAGAAGCGGAAGCCCGGCTGGAGAAGCGTGAACGCGAGGCCAACATGGAAAGGGAGAGGCTCGAGAAGCAAAGGGCCGAACAGGCGGTTCACAAGCATTTCGAGGAGTCCTTCAGGCTGGCACAACAAAAGGTTAGTCAGCCTTTGCTTTACTGCCTGTTTTTCTCCTCGCTGCGCGTGTTTTTAATGACCTCCGGCCTCTGGTCCGCGTTTCTTGGAGCAGCGTGTCGAACAGATGCTCGACAAAAAAGAAATCTCGACCGAGCATTATGCGTCGTCTTTTAACCTTTGCATGACAAGGAAGATTCAGACCTACTTTGCCCCGATAACGCGAACATCTGTATACTTTAACTCTCGCTCGAATTACCTGTATTCTCTTCCTCGATTGTCCGCAATCGCTTCGGGGTCGGGATTTTCTTGGCAAGGACAACGATGCGTCATTCCGCTCGTATCGATCCATCGACGGAGAAATATTTTCATCGCGTTCCAACGAAGAATCGCCGTGAAACGCGTTTAACGATGCAGTTGGATTATGCAAGCCGCATCGGTCCAAGGGCGACGTCTCCGACGATTCCCAGAACCGGCTGTCGCTTATTTGCACCGGCATTCCTTGGAAGATGTTGCGAATTTCCAAGTACAATCTCGGAACGAGATGTGCTCCATCCTCCTCATAGCGGAACATCCATTTTGTCGATACGTGTCGATGCAACTTTCTTGTTCTTGTAACAATTTTGGTCTGGGTTAGTTTGTTTGCACTTGATTTTTACTGCAAACAGCAACTGTAAATCTTACTAGTTACAAAGTTACATGAATTCTGTTGAGGTTGTTTTTCTACTAATTATTATCTGTTTCATACGTGTCTACATATGTTCACACGTGCATTCGAATGGTGACTCTCGAGCGGGTTTTCAATAAAACATATTGCAACTATACGTAGTACATGACAAATACATTCTTCATGATAACTAGCAGTTTAACTAGCAACCTTAATAGTTTAAAAGTTAAACGAATTCTTTCAAGGTTATTTTTCTACTAATTTGCACTATTGTCTCTTTCACTACGTCTATAAATTATATGTGTATTCAAATGGCGACTGAGAGTCACCAGCAGCTTTTCATATTACAACAATATGTAGTATATTAGACAAATATATTCTTGAGTAAATGTATATCTAACCAATCTATTAAATTCAAGAGAAACGTGACGTCGAGACATAGTTAATATTCGATCGTCTTTCGAGAACCACGAACGTAGTTTCCCGTCCAATATTTCTATCCGAAATTGTCCCGTTACCGAAACTTCCTTTCCCGGAATTTTACTCGGAAACTTTCAACCGAGCATGTCCCACTCGGTAACGGGAAATTTTGCCAAGCCTCGACCGCTATTATCCCCTGGCGAAATTCGATTGAAATTCCTAATTGCACAAAGTTGGTCGTGTTAGCAAAACTATGTAATCGTTCGAAAACGCATAATTTTGAACGGAAAGTAGAGACGGAGCGGTCGAGGGAAGAAAACACAGAGGTTGCCGTGGCGGTCGATCGACCGAGAGGCCACCACCCTCGTACCGAGAAAACAGGGATAATCCGAGAGAGCAAGGAAGAGAGATCCTGTTCTCCCGGGGTTTTCAGGCTCTCCGCGTTTCCCTGGGAGAGAAGGGTGGGTTCCCAGAGCACAGATACGGGTAAGGGACACGGGATGCTGACAGAGAGAGGAAGGGAACAGAGAGGCAATCAATGCATTCCAGCACCTGCCTTTTGTGCGTGTTACAGCCCTGACAGTCACCCAAAACCTGCCCCGTACTTTGCTGCCTGCCCTCAGCGTTTCTCATTTTATTGCCCCTTCTTTTTTCTCCCCACCTTTTAATCCCCGGTTTTTGCACTACTATAATTGGTGTCCGATGACGAGAGATTGTTTTTCGAACAGCTGTCGAACGGTCTCGTGGCGTGACCAAAAATCTTACGCAACGGCAGGTAATCGCAAGTGGTAAAACTTTTGTAAACGAATCTTATCTCGGCGTATCTGTTCATCGAGATCGTTTTTATAGACTTCGAATTTAAGCGATTTCTTTTACGTTCCCATAAAACGAACGACGAACACGTTCCTCGAAGTGACCCAAAGCTATAAAACGCTTGTAACGGTGTTTTCGAGTTCCCGGGGTATTTAAACGAAGGGATTAAATTAGAATTCATAAATTCTTTTGTAAGCACAGGAAGTTGAGCACCGCTGTGACCACGTTGCGACCACGTATGGGTGCATAAACCAGGCAAAGAGAGGGAAGGATCCTTTCACGCGGTCCTACCTGCCCTTCCACCCTACGAAAATGTGTCCCGCAGTTCTTTTCGAGCTCTCGTCCCGACCGGATGAGCCTAAAAATCCACTTCTCCCAGTCAGTCGTATTTCTGTTCGTCATCGCACAACTCGCGAGATAATTTCTGATAACCGTGCTTATTGGGCCGAGTGTTTTCCATTTGGTGGCTCAGATAAAGCGTGACCGAGTGTCTCGACGATCCAGTGTTCGAGAAAAGCTCCGACGTGCCACCATTTTCTACGAGTTTCCATTTTCGAGTGCCATTAGTGAACGGTTCAGACATGGCCGAACCGGACTTTGGAATTACCGTCTGAACATCTTGCAGGTCAGTTTCATTGTCTTCGAATACTGTTATTTCTGCTTCGGTGACAGTTACAATTTTGCTTTGCTATTCTTCCACATATGCTGCTAGCCAAGAAACTTCCTGAGTATTCTGGTGTCTGAATTTTAATAAAAAATATCCTCGAAGAAGACCTAAAATAACCCTCGTCAAGGTTCTCCGTCTGAATCAAGTACCAATGCGTTTCCTAATCAGGGATGTTATTTATGCAAGTCCTGAGGGTTGAGGCAGTGGAACAAAGAGTGCGACGTTGACGCGATGACCTTGTAAAATTTGCAAGAGACAGAGAAGCTCTATGACGGTGTTATGTTTGCAACGCGATAACGTCTATCCGGCGTGGTTGATAACAATGTCACGGCAATCGCATGTCGTAGGGAGCAACGGGCAGTGATAAATTCTTTTTTCCGTCATCGCCCCTCTCGAAATCTCGATTCTTTTTTACGGAGCGTTTCGCAAGGACGGAGAGAAAAGAAATACGTTTCTAGAGCGCTTCGAAGGCTACGATGGAAAACTTGGCCTGATTTATGCGCGCCACCTGGCTTTTATGCGAGCCACCGTTTCGTGGAAGCTTCGAAAATTCTTCTTTTTCTCCTTGCAAATTTAGCTGCCTTTATTTTCGATAGCTCCCTCTTCTTTTTCCCGATTGGTTCTCAAGACTGTTTACTTCTCTCTGTTTTCAAACTTTTGAGTTTTACTTCTACTTTGGATTTTAGAGAAATACGTATTTTATTAGCGTAACGAATGATAAGTTGCCATCGATATCGTATCTCGCTGTCTAGACAGAAATTCGATTTCCTATATCTCGTTAATGGATAAATACCACCTACGAATATGAAGAAGCACCTACGTGAAGGATACTCGAGATACAATTCCCGGGATCGTTTATCGCCCGTTGCGTAACGATTTGCTCGATTCTTAGATTCATAGGGAGAAATTTTAGATCCGTTACAATTTCCAGAGGAATCAGAATTCGATTCGAACGACGGTGTTTATCAGGCAACGGGTTCCCGATGCACGCCCGTTTATTTATGTGTCGAGGGCTGCGTGTGCGCGACCGTTTCCAGCTGGCATTTGCAATGCAAAACTCGACCGGCACGAAGGTCATTAATTATGCACTTCATGGTACGCAACAATAGAGCTCTCGACGGTGTTTCGTTTCGTCTCGTTCCTTGTTTCCTCGTCGATAGGCTTAAAGCGAATTAAAGGCGATGGAAAAACTTTCCTCCCGTTCTTTCACATTTTTTCAAATTTTTGAAAACTCCGGTTCGTCGAACCTTCCCCAAGTTTCTCGGAAGTTTCAGAAGCTTCGAAAGTTGCGGTAAACAAGGAATTAATTAAAAATCTCGATTCGCTTCAGAACCCGAAGTTGACGTGTTCAGTAATCTTAGCCCGTTATGGCGTTAGCTTAACGCGAGATACGAAACTTCTAATTGGAACGCATTATTTATAAACGCACGATAAACTCGAACGCGCTTCCTCGTAAATTACGCCGACTAATTAGCCAGGGTTATCGCGGAGGTAATTAGACGAGGTTACGCGTGTTCGTCACGCTACCTGGCGACGGAAAAGCTTTTATTAATTTTTCGCCGAAAACGATCGACTTTCTTTTTCTTTCGTCAATGAACGCTTTATCCGCCGGCAACAGAGGCGTGTTCGAGTGATTCACGTTCATTCAGCGACGTAAAGTTAGAAACCGTAACGAGCGTACGCGGTTCGTCGACTCCGTTTAATCCGTTCAAGCGTGTTCCACATTGATCAAGCGTGAAAGTAAAAACGAACGATTATCCGGATCAGGAGAAACTCTTATTCTTGTGCAAGAGCGAAGACATCTTCCTCGAGAACGTTCATTGCCACAGGATTATTGACAATACTTGACAAAATAACAAGTGTTTAAGATGGACCCGCCCTCTGAGCTTCCTTGCTCGTAAATTCGCTCTGTACCCACGCCTTCTAATCCCGTGCAAAGTTAATTACCTGGCCTCGTGGAAACTCCTACGGTATTCCTTTCTCTCCCTCGTGCAAGCATAAATCCTGCCTGTCTACGCGTACACGCATCCCTTTACGAGTCTTTGCTCGAGTACTGTTACTCCCGAGCCTTTACCGGGCGTGTACATCCAGCAATTTATCGGCGTTTGGAACTCTGTCTATGTCCTTCATCGAAGCCTTTGCAAAATTCGCTGTACGTCCAAATATCTTAGAAATTATATGGATGCTAAGGGCGAGAGTAGGCTATGTGTTTTGTCACTGCTTTCCTGATTGCAAGGGAAAATTTCATGAGTCTAAATGATTATGAATTACCGTCAGGAACTATGGATTCGCTATACGTTCAAATATTTTAGAACAATATGAGAGTAGACTATGACGTTTTGTCAGAGTGTTTTCCCAATTCCAAGGAAAAATTTCATGAGTCTAAATGATTATGAATTACCGTCAGGAGCTATGGATTCGCTATACGTTCAAATATTTTGGAACAATATGAGAGTAGACTATGACGTCTTGTCAGAGTGTTTTCCTAGTTCCAAGGGAAAATTTCATAACTCTAAATGATTATGAATAATCGTCAAGGGTGACGTTGTCATCTACGGTGACATTTGTGTCTTTACAGCAAAGGTTTTGCCGAAGAGGCATACTTGTGCTGACCGTCAGTCACATAATAAACAAGTTGCAATTTTATAATGTACCTTTCCTATGATCTTCTGGAAAAAACTGTTGATTCAACGAAGTTTCGTGTTGTAAAAGACGCATCCGGTCGAAATAATGGCACCGAGGATCGAAAGCCGCGGTTAGCGGACTATCTTTTCGGTAGCATCCTTTTGTGTCTGGTCCCTTGCCTCATAATTGGGAAATAAATCCTGGCAGGACACGCGTTGCATTCGAACTGGAATGATCTCGTTTCTAAAAGCACACCACGCACGAACCGGCGTGGAAGTAATAACAGACGAAACGGCGGGGAATGCCAGAGAAACGGAGGAGAATGGGCCGCGTGCACGGCCTCGAATAAATAATTCATGAAACGATAAACACGCGCGGATGCGTTATCCGGTACAGTCACCTGCGAATAATTTCGTCAATGATTTTATTGGTTCTCTATTGCGCCTACATTTTTTCAGAAGAATGCAATTTGCGATTCCGACAGCGACAAAACTGCTGCAAAGGAAGGAATTTCGAAATTACGGGAAGAAGAATGCCTGTCTCCTCTGTTCTCGTGTTTCCCCCGACTACTTTGTTTTCCGAGCGTTACCTTTCAATTCGACGGAGCGAAACGCGGTTACGGCCGAGTCCTGTCGAAAGAGGAGGGACAGAAACGCGAACAGTCAGCAAGTATCCCGTCTCGTCTGTGCTGACCGGGCACGTACATAGGAAACCTCGAGAGTAGTTTCTCCGCAGCGTCGTCAGCAACTTCTATCGTCGCTCTCTTACAGTCGTTTGGCTCGTGGAACTCGTCTGAAATTTAATGCGCCATGCCGTCGTCGCCACTTCGCTCTATCTGCCTTCTCCTAGCTTAGAAACTTCGTTTTGTGCTCGAATTTAGACGCGTCGATTACGAGCCAACCACTTTACTGTTTACGCGTCTTCTGTTTTATTCTATCCTTTGATCTCGCGTAGAATTTCCAGGAACTCGAATTGAAAATTTCGTTCCCTCAAAAGTGACTAAAGCGTTTATCGAATCTAGCCGATCACGTGATCGTTATCGAGTACGTGTTCAATGCGAATCGATCGCGCCGTACAAGATAAGCGAACGCATATGGGTGTAAAAAAATCCGCGGGCTCCGGTTCCTTCTCTTCTTATCACCTATTATCTCACCAGCTATCTGTTTGCTGGAAGTATTAATATCTATCTTGCGCCGTCTGTCGAGATAAGATAACGACTCTTTATGTTATTCGCAAACAGTCGAGGTAACTTCGAATTCGACTTCATTTCGAAAAACAGTTTGTCCCCGATTCGTGAGCTTTTTTCGTCGTGGCTCTTTCCGAAACTACATCGGATGAGATCAGACCCCGATGAGCCATAAAGCTCCACATGTTTCGAGTCGTGGTGTCACGTGACGCCTCGTCATTCGCTTGAAAAACCGATTCGTTCGCGATTTATGTTCGTACGAACGCGTGGCACTCGGACAACAGGGAATCGGGTGTCTAGTCTGTTGAAACTCGAGGCAATAGTTTGTCACCGAATCGATAAGGTCTCTAAAGTTGCAGTCATCTTCTGTCCTCGATGGCGTGACTGTTCGCTGTAAATTGAGATAAACAAGCGCGATAACTCGTTTTATTTTTTGTTCCTCGATAAGCGAGGACTATCGCGAACAATAAATGTTTTCGTCGATATTTCCGATGGAATCGATGACCGATTGAGAGACTGCAAATTATTCGTACGCTGGAAAGTTTAACGAAGGTATGCAAATAGTGGCGGTCGCGAACAGGGCAAAATTTTCCGAGGGAAAGTCACCGAATCCGTGCCATTAAAATTTAAATAGACCATGAAAGAGGAAAAGAGGGAGTTCCTTTCGCAAGGGCGGAATCGACGAATAGATTAATCGGAGCGAGAGAGGGTGAGCCAGGACAGGGGATGATTTACTTTGGTACACGGGGAACAACGGGAGAGTCCTTCTTTTGTTCCAACCACCCCCGCATTAATGTGTCCCCTTTTCACGTCGCTCGGTAAATAACGAATGGCCGAATATTATTGCGCGACCAGACACTGAATCGAGAACCGTGCGGAGGGAAATGCCTCGAGGGTTTCTGAAAACGACAGGTTGGGCTTAATCCTGTAATAGATTTATTATTTTCAGGTACAAGAAAGCTCGTGATCCCTTTAAACATTCTGTCCTTCACGAATGCGGAAACACCGGCTAAGATGGTTGTCGTTCGATCGACGATCGATTCGATTTATCTATAGATCGTGGCTATTTTTTCTCTCGTTGTTCTCCACTGGAAACAGCCGTCTTCACGAACGATCGAAAACTTTCTTCCGTCGTCGTTTACCCTACGGATATTTTGGTCGCGGGTTATAAGCGGAATATTCCACGTTGGTCTTCCACTTTCCATTATATTTAACGCTCCGATCTTCGTCACGTTTCGAAGCGACTGTTGTGTCTACGCTGCGCTAGTGGAATTCGAAACGTCGATTCGAGCTAACGTCGTTATCTCTCCGGCGATATTATTTATTTACAACACGGGACAATTGGCGTATATCGAAGAGTGTGGGCAAATACGGTTGTTTCGAACGTCGCGAAACCAGTGCGGCTAGATTCGTGCACCGTGAATCGTTGTTGCGCTCGTTAGGAGTGGCCCAGGCTACAACAGCAGTGATTGCGAAATACGAGTAAATTGATGCACGTTTAAAAAGCGTGACGACTCGGAGAGCCAAGTCCGACGAGCGTGCGTAGGCATCGCTCGCGCCACGACGCTCACCGTGATCGATAAAACGAGCACGTTTTTCATTCGTGCGAGCGACAGAAATAGCCGACCGATGCGGATCAAATATTTATCGGGCGTTTTTAACCGTGCAATTATCGACGCGCAAGGAAGGTTACGGAGAAGAGGGCGTCGCAATAAATATCTCGACCGGTTAAAAATAATTGGCGAGATCGGCTAGGTAATTTACGCGTCGAAAGTCAGCTATACGCGTGCAATTACGGGGAGCAGCAACGCGTACGAAAAGGAGGTACAGGGAGAATCGCGCGAACGCCACGCTCGGGAACAAAAAGCGGATTAAGCGAACGTCACGGGTTAAAGAGTTCAGGAAGAGAAAGTCAACGAACCAATGGAAGCCGGTGGTCCCTGATTGAGTCTGAATACCGTGTTCTGGCTTTTATTACGCGCAATCGCTCGCTCGGGGATTCGGGTTCGCGCCGCGTGTCTCTCGCGCTTTTAACGAGCGTTTTACGAGCTTTTGTCCGGCCTCCTCTCGCCCCGTCCCGCACCTTTTGTCCGGAATGCAATACGCGGACAAAACGCGCGCGTACATAATGCGGTACGCGGACAAAACGCGCGCAATCTCGGCTGGTACACCGAGCACGGAGACAGTCTTGCAACGATTAAAGGAATACCGTCAGGGACGCGGTTTATCCTCTCGTCCTATTCTGTCCGCGTACCTCGTCTTTTCTTTCCGCTCTGGCGAGAGAGCGAGTTCCTCGAGCGTGAATCTCGAATAGCGTCGGGAAAGGTAAACGGTTTTCCGTATTTTTCCACTCTCGTTCTCGGCAACGCGACGTTGTCTCGAGGCAACGTTCAAAGTTTAAAAACGCGGAGATCGCTGCGACGAATACGGACGACAAAGAGAAACGCGTATACGTATCGAACGATGACGCGAGCCGCGGGTAAACAGAGCACGTTGCTTGACATTTACTCACGGCTCGATTAGCATAGTAAGCCTTCTCGGACGAAACTATAATTAGGTTCGTGGTCCGTTCTCGACAGGCCGCTTAAAGCCTTCCCTCTCCTCTTCTCTCTGTCGAGCCGTTAATTCTTCTGTCGCTGTCGACGGATTCTCTCGACCTTGACACGATCCCCTCTCGAACGCGCAGGTACGGCTCGCGTTTCAACGCGAAAATAGGTATCCCTCGATAAAATCGTTTCGAAAGTTTCGAAAATCCGAATGAACGGGCGAGCGCACGGTTCAACGGCGTTTCGAACGAGTCGTTGCATCGGGTAGGACGGGTCTGTCCGTTGCGGAACGGTTAAAAATAAACGCGCTTAAAATAAACATATTTTACCATCGAACTGCTCGCGAAATGCCCGCGTCAGCACCGACCGGCTGCTTTCTCCC